TGTCTCACCTACTTTGGTTTTCAGAGGGGACCAATCCCTGGAAATGGATGCCATGTTTGGAAGGTGGAGGGTCAATGAAAGAGGGGAAGGCCTTTGAGCAGATGGATTGACATGGTGGCTGTGACAATGGGCTCAAGTATAGCAAAGATCATGGAGCTGGCATGGGATCAGGCAGTGTTTTGTTCTGCTGTGCATGGGGTCCCTATGAGTCGGAAATGACTCAATGGCAGCTAACAACGACAACACATAGGAAACTAATGAACAAAAGGTTTGTAAGGTTTGCAAAAGCAGTACAACTCACATTTCATTTATGTACAATACAGTAGATAACAAAGATTTGGGTTAAAATATAGTGAGTTTTAATCCATCTTACTGAATACTTACTCTTAAAGAGCATAAATGTTTTATTTTGCATCAATCAATTTTTGCAATCAATCAATCAATGTGTCACTACTCCTTGTTTTATTTCAGGCACCACAACATCCTTGAAGAGTAGGGTGAAGACTAGAGAGCCTTCTGTTGTTGATTTTTTTGAAGAAGTAGAGGTTGTTGGCCATTTCAAGGCCTGGTTGTTTGGTTTGTTTCCATGCATGCTTTCTGATCCCTCTAATAGTCTATACAAAAGTAACAAAATAGGTGCAATGGACAGTCAACAAAATAGCACTCAAATAAGACTAGAGGATGGGATCATATTTTATTTTGGAGTTGAAAATAATGGTTGTCTATCCTTTCTTATTACATTGTTTAAGCAATTTTACTTAATAAAATTGAAATTTGAGGAACTGTCAAAGTCAGAAAAAAAGAAAATAAGATTTCTCAAGGAATTTTCATACCTGTACTACAGCTGTCTCAGATGATCTTCTCACAGGGAGATGTGTCTTTAATATTACAGAGAATTTTGTTCAATGGCTTTTAAAATAATTAAATATGGTATGATCATTATGGGGGAAAAGGTGAAAATATTCTGCTGAAACCCAAAAGCAACTGTTGTAAAATTTTGTCCCAACATGAAGCAAGTGAGTTTTAACAATTGATGGTGAAGATGAGTAAATAGTAATTGTTTTGACCAGAAGACAAATTTTGAATAATTTATTAGGTTTCTTCTACTGAATTTTTAAGCACCTCTTTATTCATTCATTTCATGATTGTATTAACTATCTACTAGGTGACTAATGTTCAGGTAGTCTCTCTTGGGAAAACTAAGGAGTTATAAAGTGATGGTTATAGCTTAAGTATATCATGATTTTTTAGAAGCTACTATGTGCAGAACACTCCAATGACTGGGGTTTATAAGCCATGTTAGATATGGGCGCTGGTCTCAGGCATGTCATGGGCTCTTTTAAATTGGGACACATACAACTTCACCCAACTAGTATTTACACACACATCTAAATTGCTGTTGTTTCCAGTTGCTGTCAAGTTGATTCTGATTCACGTAATCCCATGTGTGTGGAGTAGAATTACATGACATATGGTTTTCATGGTTGTTACCTTTCAAAAGCGGACCAGGGCTTACTTCCCGGGTGCTTCTGGGTTTGAACCAACAATCTTTCAGTTAACAGTCAAACACTTAACCATTTGTGTTACTCAGGGGTTCTTTATAGATAGATGACATAATGAGAGGGAAAGGGGAAACAGAAAGAGAGAGAAAAAGAGAGAGAGAGAGAGAGAGAGAGAGAGAGAGAGAGAGAGAGATTGAGATCGGTTATATACCAGTCCTTTTTCAAGCTTTGTACACAGGTAAAAAGAATGGTTAATTATAGTAAAATACTATTTTTACTGAGGGATTGGTGAAGATTCCTTAATAGTAGTAGTACATGAAGAGGATTGGCTTTTTTACAATGCAGACAAAATGAATAGCTTTCTGAGAGGTGTTCTTTCATAAATAAGATACAATGTTCTCATTTGTAAATACAATATTCTTTGGTTACTTGTTTTCATCAACAATAACTAAATTTGTCTTTCACAATTTGAGCTGATAGTTAAAATGCAAATGATATCAGGAAAACAATCTAATATCGGAGGATAAGCAAGACATTTCCAAAAAGCTATTTTTGGGGTTGGGTCAGACATCCTGAGTCTCTAAACAAGAAAGCAAGAAAAGAACAAAGACAAACAAAGAAAACAATGAGCAAAAGGAAGGGAAAATTACAGAGTGTGATTAGAAAAAGATTCAAATGTTGTCTTTATCACTTTTAAGTATGTGTCTTTAAATAAGTCACAGAAACTCTAAGAAATTGATTTTAATTAATGTCAAGCATATAAGATATATTTTAATTATTCAATCTTCTAAATACTTTACATTATTTTTAAGGTGATGAGAAATACTTTTTTTTTTTTTTTGTTTTCCTGAAAATGAAAATTGCTGAAATAAAACCTATTTCTTTTTGGTCTTTATTTGGAATTATTTGAGGTTACCCTTTTCTGTAATTAGAAAAACATATTAGCATAAAGCTTTTCCCTGGCCAATTCTTTGAGAA